ATTTGCCACCTCCTTTGTGGAAATTCTCTGCGCTGCGTGTGATGAAGACCGGTTGTGTCACTCTGTATGTCATGTGTCCCAAATAAGCGTTTTGGGGGCGTGCGATCTGAATGTCATGGCCCTCAAGCATGTTAAGCGTAGCGGACGGGGTGAGGCTGCTTTCATCCCACCGCAGATCATCCAACAACAGGATTCGACAGGATGGCAAGCCCAGCAATGGGAATTGCCCGCCAGGTGCATTGGCAAAAACTTCAGGGGCCAGCCAACCATGACTTTGCATTGTTTCCCTCGCGGCCAATGAGCGTGACCACGGTGCCCTTGGCTGTCAGTCCTTCAAGCAGATCACGTAAGACTGCTCCGGTGAACTCTGCTTCCGCAAAGGACATGCCGGGCACGATGCACCCACAGGAATTTTGTACTGCAGCGGCACTTCGTGATGTCGCAGTGTTTCCGTAGAATGTCGGCAGTTTCGGTGGCGTATTTGGCAGCGTCCGGTGCAGATTCAACCACCTGGCATGCTGCAACCTTGGCAGAGAGGTTGGTTGCATTCCGCAAGAGGTGTTCCAACGTCGGGGCATTGCCGATCTTCCTGGCTTCTGCAGCAAGCAGCGCCATCAGTTGTGGATGGGCTGCGTCCACTTTTAATTTGGTAACAGTCGGCCAGAGGTCCACATCCTGGACTTTCTCCCTGCTGCGTTTACCTTCCTCGGCATTTTTGCGCAGTTGTTGCAGCCGGAGGGCGTGTTGGGTCTCCACACACAATTCTGCAGATGTCATCTCATCCAGCGGTGGATGGCGTTCGTCCTTCCATGCATAAAGCAGCGGCTTTTTATCCATGTCCTGCAACTGCTTCTTATGACTCGGGGTGTAGCAGTAGCGCAGCACCATGCGGTACTGGTTATCTGCAGTTCGTGGCATGTGTCCCTGTTTTGCCATCTCTCGCGTCACGATCCTCGTCATCTCGCGTCTCGTCGCAACTCTCCTCGCACGTCTCTTGTCACATCCATCACATCCATCGTCATGCCTCTGGTCACGTCTTATGTCACGTCCTTTGTCACGTGTGTCGTAACAACTCTGGCCACGTCTCTTGTCATGACTTTCATCTTATCTTTCATCATGTGTCTCAACACGCCTCTCATCACGACTACGTAGCATCTCCCGTCACGTCTTTCTTGAAGATCCTGTTCCACGTGTCGTCGCCCCTCGCGTCACGTCGCGACTCTCCTCGCGCGTGTCTCACATCCATCGTCAAGCCGCTGGTCGCGTCTTTGGCAAGTCCTTTGTCACGTCTGTTGTAGCAACTCTGGCCACGTCTCTCGTTATGACTTTCGTCTTATCTTTCATCACGTGTCTCCATGCGCCGCTCGTCACGACTACGTCCATCTCCCGTCGCGTCTTTGTTGGAGATCCTGTCGCGTGCGTTGTCACGTCTCTCGACACGTCACGTCTGTTGTCACGTCTTTGGTCACGTGCTTTGTGACGTCTGTCGTCGCAACTCTGCTCCCGTCTCTCGTCATCACTTCCAACACATCTCTCATCATGTGTCTCGCGCCTCACGTCACAACTCCATCCCGTCCTGCCTTTCGTGGTCTGTCTCATGTCTCTAGCCACGACCCTCTTCGCGTTTCGTGTCACACCCTCACGTGTTTCGTCACGACTTCGCGATCTGAAAATGTGCTCCGCGCCCCAGCGAAAGCGATTCAGCCCACCCAAAGCGCACAGAGAGTTCGCTGTGCGATCTCAAAATGTGCACCGCGCCACAGCGAGATTGATTCGACCCACCCAAAAGTGCGCAGGGTTCGCTTTGCGATCTCAACATGCGCACCGCGCCACGGCGAGAGCGACCCGACCCCAAAGTGCGCAGAGGGTTTACTTTGCAATCTCAAAATGTGAGGCGCCGCAGCGAGAGCGATTCGACACACCCAAAGCGCGCAGAGGGTTCGCTTTGCGTGCGAAAAGGTGCGCCGCGCCACAGCCAGAGCGATTCTACCCACCGCGCCACAGCGAGAGCAACTCGACCCAACGAAAGTGCTGCGCCTGCCACGAAATCTGCGCGCAAGCTGGAAAAGTGCTGCGCCTGCCACGAAATCTGCACGAAAAGCTCTAAAGTGCTGCGACTGTCACGAAAAATCGCGTTACAGCGACATGCAAAACGCTCAAAATGGTGCGCCTGCCACGAAATCAGAATTTGATACTCTCGCATCGCGTGCGGAAAACTAGCGCGGGACTGTAGCGCCAGAATGATTTCGACCAATTTGGACATGTTTCAAGCCCCGCAAAACGAGCCGACTGTACAGCAGGACGCCTCAAAACGACCACCCCTGCATCGCAAATCCCATTGGCACGGCAACGAGAGCACGCAACCTTCCAAAACACTGCGCGTGCGCAGCGCAACGACGCGTCGAGCTTGAGAAGCTACGACTCCCGCACAGGGGCACGAAAAATGACACGCTTCAAGTCATTCAAATGGCATGTTTTTCGCTTTCCCTACTGGAGCTGCAAGCCCGACACTTGCGAACACATACGAACGCTTGCGAACGCTTGCGAACGTTTGCGAATGCTTGGGGACGTAATTTCGACGACTCCTGGTCGCGTCCTAACCCTCAGACCTCTAAACAGGAGCCGTTCTGCTACGCATTCGGGAAAAAAGGTGTGCGTCCTTGTCGGCAGCTTTGCTTGGGGTTTGTATGGGTTCAAGCAAGGAGCAGTGCAACAGACCTTTAGCAAAATCGCACAAAATCATTTGGAACTTTTCAAGACCCTTAAAGCCAGGCCGAAAAGTCTAACCTGGTATCTGACTGTTTACGGCAACATTTTTCCAAGTCTGTACTGCACCTTGTTCCACGTACGCAACGCTAAGCCAAAGACTGGGCAACAAATTTGAGCACGAGCGTTTTCATCCTGCTGGAGAAAAACACGTTAACAGACTCCACGGCCGCCAGCTGCCGAACGGCAACCTTTCGGGTTACCTTCAGAAAGCTGCCGGCAGTCAAACGACAAGGCTGCCCAAAGCCTTTTTTCAGGTGTCAATTGCGGGTAGTATTTGTTTGCAAGTGGTGGATTGTGCTGGTTTTGCTTGCTGTCTCTTCCACGTCTTTTGGTGCGTTCCCTTCCAATGGAGATTTTCAGAGTTTGCTGGACTGCGGGGCTGGCAGGTGTAAAGTGCGGTTGTCCGTGTGTCCTTTGGTAAACAGGTACGCTTGGCGTTTTTGGTTTTGTTTTCTGTGCTTAAACCTTTTAGAATCTTTGCAACATGTCTTTACATACAACTTGAATGAAGCGTCAACGCCAGGTCGCTCTGCTCTACGGCCCAGAACTTCAAGACATTTGATCTGCCAAAACGTTCGTGCGTTCGTTCGTTCGTTCGTTCATTCATTCATTCGTTCATTCATTGCTTCCTTCCTTCCTTCCTTCCTTCCTTCCTTCCTTCCTTCATTCATTCATTCATTCATTCATTCATTCATTGTTCATGTGCTTGTTCATGCATTCATTCATTCATTCATTCATTCATTCATCCATCCATGCATTCATTCACTCATTCGAACCCAGTCCATTGCGGGGACGACTCCCTGAACAGGTTGTGATTTTCCTGCATTCCATTTTCAATTTCAGTTTCGGTTCACGTCATTTTTTTTATTTCATTTCATGTCACTTCATTCCATTTCGTTTCCCCTCATTTTGCTCTGTTTAGTTCCATTTGCATTTCTTGCATTCCATTCCGTTTCGGTGCATTTCATTTCATGAATTCTCATCCGTTTCATTTCATTTCATTTTGTTTTGTTTTGTTTTGTTTTGTTTCATTTCATTTCGTCCTTGCATTTCATGTCATGTCAGTTCATTTCATTTCTTCCGTTTAGTCGTTTGTTCATTTTTGTTTGTTTGTTTGTTTGTTTGTTTGTTTGTTTGGTAGATGATAATACTATATATATATAGATAACTCGTGTTGTTTACTTATTGGTCGTCTGCTGTCGGTTTGAGCAGGACATGGGACCACAACCCACAGTTTCACACACCTCAGGGGACAAACTCAGTTTCCCCAACTTTTGTAAAGTAAAACTAATTCTTTCCGGGGCCCAAAGGACCCTGGTGTGAACCCCCGCGTGGTTCACCATGCAACCACGTATTCCAGGGTTCCATTTTTGGGTTGCCCCGGAATTTGTGCAGTTGCAGGCCTAGGGAAGGGGCTTGGAACTGGAAAGAAGCCGTTGACTGTCACAGGGCTCCTTAAAAAAAACACATTTTGCAACCACTTGAAACATGGCTGGCTTTTTCCACACCAAAGTAAAGGGACACCACCATTTACAAGTTGCAATGTTCGATCGGTGTATAACGTTTCCGGATCCTGTCATGGTGCCTTCCCTTCCATTGGCCGACATGGAGGGTAGGCTTAAGGAAGGCACCACCCAGTGGAATCCCTTACTCATGAGCCAAAAGGGATTCCCACGAAACACAGAGATGTTCCCTTATGGTTCCCTATGTCTTGGCCAAAAGGGAAACATAGGGAATTGTGGGTGCCTTCGAAGCTCTGGAAACCATCTCTGGCTCCCAGCTTGGGAGATCCGGGGGCGCTTTGCGCGGCCGGCTGGGGGCCGCGGGCGCAGGTGCCTAGGTCCCTGGACGGCTTGGCTTCGGCGGTGCGTTCGAGTCTTCAGCGGGAGGGAAAAGAGCAGCTGTTTCCGATTTTGGGGCGCAAACATGTCAATGAATACGGCAATCTCACTTCGCGAGTTCATGAACTTTATTTTTTTGGGAAGATCATTTTAGTAGTAAATATACAGTTTCTTTTTGGGGCCATCCACTCGGCAAGTGAGCATTCAAGTAAGGCCAGGATGCGGCGGGAACTTGGTTTGAAACCGTTCCGATGGGCGGAGTTTTCTGCACGTGGCAGGATGGAAGCCGTGGATTTCACCGGTTTTTTGGAGATAGACCCAAAAATGTTTGGAGGCGCAGACATTCCGCCCCAAAACGCCGGTCAGGCCCAAGGCCTTCCCGCAGGCGACATGGCGGACAGCCCGCCGGTGGCCGTGCCGGAATCCAAACTGCGGTTGCCGCGCTGGGAGTTTCCTCAGGTACATTTTGCCAATTCGAAACGCGGCTTTTTCCATCAAAAGAAAGGGACAGCCACCATTTTCAGGTGCATAATGTAAGGATCCCTGTTCCTTACAATGATTCTCCGCTGAAGGCGGGGCTTCTCTCCAAAACCTCAGTGGGTCAAGTCTAAGCACCCCAGGCATCCTAGGCCCTGACAAAAATGCCATTTGAGGTCCAGAAGCTTCGAATGAAGGGTCCAGTGGTGCTCGGGGTGGTGTTTTCTTTTTTTGGTTCCCTCTGAAAACATTTCGGCAAAAAGGGTATCCTTCACAAATCACACCGGAACAAAACCCGCATCCATCCTATGGCCAGCCGAGTTGCTCTATGAAAACCGTGCCTAATGTGAGGGGCTACGAAATGACGCGTGGATTGCAATCCAGTTCCTCTCCCTGTTCTACTCTCCTACAAGGATGAAAGCCGAAGTCCAACATGTGTCCTACGGGACCCGTCCCTCCTGGGCTTTTCGAACCTCCATTGCCAGTTTTGTTGGAACGCGAGGCAAATCAGTTGACCGCACATTCATCTCAAATCAGTTCATCTCTTTTCTCCTGTGAATGAACTGGACGTTCCAAATTGACATGGGAACATTCTTCTATCGAACAGTTCTAAAAAGTTCTTTCGAAATGGGAAGAGTTCCAACCTTGGATCACTGGGAACCATCGATCCGTTTGACGGAACCCTCCGCGACCTCCGTGGCCCCGCGGCCGTGCCCGAGGTTGGTGCGCACCGAGGGCGCGCCGTCCTCGGTGCCGCCGCTCATCGCCTTCAGCGCCTTGGCACGTTTTTTTGTTGGCGAAGGGTTTCACTGGGGCCAAGAAGGGCTTGCGACCGGCAAGCAACCTCCCTCCAAACGTAAAAAAGCTGCTCTTTTGGCAAAAAGCAACGGGGGAAACGGGCGGGGGGGGGGGGGGGAGGGAGGGGGGGAAGGGGGGGTTTGGGTTTGGGCAGCATACAACAACAACAGGAAATAAAGCACATACCATCCCAGGCAAGTCCTGAGTGTTAAGCCGTAAAGGTTGACAAGGTCTTGACACCCGGCTCCAAAATTAACAAGGGAGGTTTCTAGCCAATGCGCGTGGTTGAGGGTACCCCCCAAAAAAGGGAGGATACCCATCCATGTTGGCATCCTATTTTGGCACTCTTTCGACACATACCCACCAGGAATACCTTACGAAAGCAAACGAAGCATCAGCTTTTATTTATCCGGTTGGCCTTGAAGGGACTCTTTCTAAGCTTGACCTTCATCGTTTAAACAAACTGTAGCAACAAAAACAGTTTCTTTTGATATTTTCATGACACTATTCACATTTTTGCTGGCAATTTCAAGTTTGTTTTTGGGTTCCCCGTTTTTTTTTGGGGGTGGGTGGAGAGGACGCCCTTGATCGAGGATGGGGGGGTTCCGATGGCGTGTGTTTCCTTTCGCGGTATGTCGTAGGAGGGAGCAAGATCGCTTGGGTTTGCCTCCAATGTGTTTCTCGCTTCCGTCAGCTCAACTATAAGGAATCTGCCGGGTGTTTCCCCAAAAGCGATCCGCAGCTCTGGGCTGAGTCCTGGCATTTCTTTGAGGGGTAATAGAAAAATCCCAAGGAACGGTCCCAGCGTGGTCGATGGTGGTCAGTAACACTGGGGAAGATTTCGTGTTCACTTGTGTGATTTGATTGTCTTTGATCATAATTTGACATGTTTTGTCCGTTCCCGGCTTTTCACTTACAGGGCTCATAAACAGGCTTGGGCAGGGGCCACAGCGCGTTCCGTTTCAGGTCGAATCTTGCTTTGCTGAGTCGCGTGTCCAACAGATCCTCTGCCGCGCTCAGGCTTGTGGGGAATCAGTAAGACCTATATGAATCAGCACATATGTATCTACTTATTTGTCTATTTGTTTGTCTATTTGTCTATCTGTCCATCTGTCTATTTGTCTTTCCGCGTGTGTGTCTGTCTGTCTGCCTGCCTGCCAGCCTGCCCTCCTGCCTGCCTGGCTTGCTGTGTGTCTGTCTGTCAATGTACCTATTTGTTTACTTGTCCGTCTATTTGTCTGTCTATTTGTCTGTCTATTTGTCTGCTTGTCTATCTATCTCTCGATCTATCTGTCTGTCTGTCTGTCTATCTATCTATTTGGCTGCCTGGCTGCCTGCCTGGCTGCCTGCCTGCCTGCTTGCCTGCCTGGCTGTCTGACTGTCTGTTTGTCTGTCTGACTGACTGTCTCTCTGTCTGTCTGTCGATGTACCTATTTGTCTATTTGTCGGTCTATTTGTCCGTCTATTTGTCTGTAAATTTGCCTGTCTATTTGTCTGTCTATGCGTCTACTTGTGTGTTTATCTGTCTATCTATCTGTCTATCTGTCTGTCTGTCTGTCTGCCTGCCTGTCTGTCGCTCTATATATTTGAGTCACGACTCTTGAAGATGTTTTGGGCCAAAGTTAAAGCAATTGGACTTGATCCGCTGACGCCAAGCGCTTTCCGCTGACGCCAAACGCTTTGCGCGTGTGCCGAGGCCACCCGAACTCGTCCGTCTCGGTGGGCCCGGAGCCCGGGGTGCGACTTGTTGCGGGGTGGGGTTGGCCCCCAACCCCCCCCCCCCCCGGCTCCCGGGATGACTTTCTCTTTGGTAGAGACCGTTTGGTTTTCCCTTTGAGAAAACATTGGACGTCTCTTGGTGGAGCCTTGTAAGACTCCTTGTAAGGACTTGTAAAACTCCTAGCAAGAAACGTGCCCCACGAAGGCAGAGTGGCAATAGGCGCAGGCAGGCATAGGAATCCTTTCAGTTTGACTGCCGGAGCTTCCAATGGCAAAGATGGCCATGGAATGTGGACAAGACGACACCTCTGATCTCTCAGAGAGTTGCGGCATAGCAACTCAGAAACAATCTGGCAGTCTGCTAGCTTGGGCAGGACATGCAGATGCCCAGAGAGGGGGGTTGGGGGTTCGTGCGGGGGCTGGGGGGACCCAATTTGCCCACGTGGTAATTGCTCATTTGCGACATCAATTTTTAAAAGGGACCTTCGGTGGCACCAGGGGTCCACGATGGTTGCCAACTCCCTCTCCCTGAGACCCGCAGAGTTATTGAGGATTTTTGAACGAGCCGTGGGTGGCTGTGTCTTTTCGAAGTCCCCTTGTTTTGGGGTGGTTTGAAAGGGACACGAAGGGCACACCCATTTTAAATTGGTTTCTACATTTAGAGACAGACCAGTTTGTAGATTGCAAATTTCCGAGCTTCTCTATTGACTGGACAAGCATTGCGGAAAGCACGGAATAGGGGGACTTGCGTCGGAGTGGAGGTTGGCAACCTGTTTTTCCCAAGCCAGAGAATTGTGAACCCCTTTTGAAGCTTGCGTTGTGCAACCATTTGCTTGCCCAGGGCAGGGGGGGGGTTATGGCCAGGAAGAGCAGAGAACAACCAGATCCCGCTCAATGACAAGAAGATCTCCAAGGCCGGGCGAAAGAACGAGGCAAGCTGAATACATGCTCCTTGGCGCAAAACAAAGCAAAGCGCCCCGTTCGGCGACTTTGCTTTGAGCTACTCTTTGGTGTTTGAAGTGCACTGAACTGCCGGCAGGCCTTCGAAACGGGCAAGGCATTGCTTCTTTCAGTGTCCATGGGTTTCAGGGTTTGGAACATGAACACTCTTTCTCGGCGTTTGTTTGCCTCCTTCGCCGGTGCGCTGCCAAGGACATTTTCTTTTTCCTCGCTTGACATGCCGAATTCAAATTCGGCATACAGAGCACAAGGGAGTTTGAAGGTTGTATTTGCGATTCTGAAAAAAAGAGAACAAAATCAGACAAACAAACCATTTCCTGGTATTTACGCTTTGCGAACTGCTCTCCGCGTTAATTTCCTTGCAACTTTTCGCCATTGCTTGAGAGCTTCTTCTTCTTTGATCGGGGAAGCACGACTTGCAACGGTGTGTTCTTCTCTGCGTGGTTAGTTTTCCGAGGTCGCAGTATTGGGTCGTCATCGCAATGTGCTGCATGTCTGCTTCCCCATTCTCAATCATAAGACATCAGGCGAACTTGACTGTTGAATTATGAACCTTTTGATTCAATGGTGTCAGGTTATGACTTTTCCACTTTGCCGAAGCGTCGATCGTCGTTTGGACTATTGTGATTGGGGCGACATTCCTCATGCATTTTGAGAACCTCTCTTCATATGATTTTGTCCTGATTTCAGTATCAGGGGTTTTGGAGACTTGCTTTCTTGGCAATAGTTTTTCAATGATGATGCATACAAACTCGTCATTCACGATGCTTCTAGTAAGCAAGAGCTTACAAATTGTGAGAACATTGCAGGCCATGCAGACTTCGTCTGGGAGGTGTAAGAACACACATGTACTTGCTGCTTTTGGGGGTCGATCGCACAGGATCTTAGCACAAACATTATTTGCTTTTTGCGGTGCCTTCAAGATCTCAGTTTTGACCGCACTTGGTACGGTGCTGTGCACAAAGGTGGCGGCGTTTTTTTTCTTCCAACCTCGAGCTGCCCGGCCACGTAAGAAAATCGCCAGAACCACGCGCTGCTCACCTTGCGGGCCTGCAAGCGGAAGGGCGCGGCGGACGGGGAGGTGATGAAGCGGGTCTTCATCAAGGCGGTTGGGCGATCGGTCGGTTGGGCGGTAAAAAGCGTCATCAGCTCATGCCTGGGGGCTGGGGGGAGGGAGGGTGGGGGGGGGGGGTTGGGGGTTGGTTGAGCCGTCAGCAGGGCGTCTCCGAAAACGTGGAGCAGGAAGAAAAACCATCGCAGAGTTTTCTGGGACTGCCTGGATTTGGCTCTGTGAAGGGGACGGCTTGGCAGAGATTTCCGACCGATTCTTCTGTGCCTCGCTCACATGGGGTCGATCGGTCGTGCAGATTGAGGCAGTGTACTCAGATAATGCAGGGTTCGGATAATTTTGTTGGCCTTGCAGTGGTTTCAAACATGTTTTGGTTGCCATGTTTAGTGAGTCTGCTTTTGGTGGAGCTGTGTTTCTTTTGGAAACTCTAGGAACCCCGGACTTGTTCAACCAGCTTGGGAGTCGCGTTTGAAGACGCATGGGAGGAGAGGGGGGGGAGGGTCGGGTGGGGCGTGTCTTTCTACTCAAAACCGGGGTCATTGCAGTTGGACCTCCGAAACCTGTCAAGGACTCCCGCATCACCCGGATGTGCCCTCAACTTGTGAAGCCATCCCAAGACAGCCCTCCGATAGAAAACAAGCCCCTCTCCTGAAAGAGCGTTTCTTGGATCAGTTTCCCCAGGGACCCTCTGGTGGGTTTTTATTCAACATGAATGGGGTAGGCTGATGGTTTTGAAAGGGGAACCCAACGATGAATGCCCTCACAGCTCTGGCAAAGAAACATGGACATCAGTCAACTTCCCCGGCATCTCGGCGACCCCCAACACACTTCCTGATCCCGAGGCTCCTCTGCAAAAGAAGAAAGCAAAACAAAAAGGCTCCCGGAAAGTAGATGCGAGGATTCCTGAACTACCCCCTTGCTTGGCATTTCTACTTTACTTTCCATTTCTTGTCCTTCCCCATGCCTTTCAGGCATCCTTCTTCACAAAACTAGGGAAGCACCCAGACCTTTCGGACACATGCCTGTTGCTGGTCGTCGCGGTTGGCGGGATACCCGACAGGATTCGTCGACCTTCGGCACCTTTGTGAATGGAAAGGCAGGGAATGGTTTAGTTTCTCGTAGGTTTTCAGTTTCTTGGCTTTAGTGGTAGTTTCCATCAAACCACTAACGGTCAAGCGAAAAGCAGGGGACCTGGGAACACTCATCTTTACTGGTTTGACAAAGCGCCTTCCGGGCAAACGCTGTGATTCTGCGGAAGGGAGGATGGTTTGAAGGCTACCCGGCAAAGTAATAAAAAGGTCCTTTACATAGGATGACTATTGGCTGGGAAACCGCTAAAAAGCGGATATTTCCCACTAAATGGGAAAAGTCACCCATGGTCATTTTGGGGCCGAACGGAATCGAGGTCAAGCAAGTCAGGATTTAGAAATTATGTTGCAGCACATTTTCATGTTGTTCTTTCTTTAGGAGCTATCATTGCTATCTTCTCTGGAATACACTTCAACGGAGAAAACATGATTGGTACTAAAGACATATTGCTTTCATCCTCATGTACACAGTCTTTCTATCAACAATTCATACCTATTCTTCAATGAATTTCTTAGGATTTCATGTTATGCCAAGAAGAATCCCATCCTTTCCCGTTTTTCTTCATTCCTAGAAGTATCTGTCCTCTATTGGATCAGGAATAGCTTTCCCATCTTTTCATCCTCGTAGTCTTGATCTTCTTTTCATTGTCATGGCTTTCCCTTCCTTCTATCTATCTTTTATCAGTTGTTTGCTCTTTGATGTCCTTTTTGTGTTTCATCCCAATCTTATGCTGGACAGATGAAAGAGGTACAGCGATAGAGAGGGAACGCCATTCCTCTACCTTCACTCCGTCTATTCACCAATCTCCGGAGTTCTCCGTTCTCTCTCACTATCTCACAAAGGCCGTGCATTAGATAAAACCTTTGCAAGCCTGGTAGGAACCAGGGATTTGTCTATGGATGTGGCTCAAAATTAAACAGCAGGGGCAAGCCGCAGGTTTTGGTACCCAAATTTCCACTTACCAGGGCTTGCGCCATTTTGGCACCGGTTATGCCCCACGTTTTTGTTTTTTTTGGGATGTAGACATCACCTTGGTGGCTTTGAGATCAACTTCACTCGGGAGCCTCGGGAAGGGATGAAGAGTCGCTATGAATCTGCCGGGTCCTTCGACAAAACCGCCAGCATTCCGAGACCGATTCCGAGATCCATGTGAGTGGTGCAGATTCAGGAAATCGACACAGGGGATTACAAAGGGCACATGGATCCTAACGTGCCAGTTTTGCAACAGACACATCTCACCAGCCAATCTTTCGGTTAGGGACACTGATATTTTTTTGACCAGCTGGGGATATTTTTCACGTCTCAAAAAGGCTGTTTTGAGCTGGTTTTCCTTGAACCAAGCCGCGGGGAAATGTTGGGGACCCCCTTGTTTTGACACACCGGCAACATCAGCAAAGCAGCACCCGCTGGAAGGATTTTCAAGCATCCTTTTTTGGGAACACCCCAAAATGGCTGGTTTCCTCTTGGTTTCCCTTTAAAACCAGCTTTAAAGGGGACCACAGGAGGAGCCTCTCTCATCAACACGCAGCATGTTTTCGGAACGACTCTGCCAGTGAAGCGCAAACCTATCTTCGCCTTTTGGACTCCGTTAGCCGACCTTTTGCACTTGTTGAGCAAGGACAGGGCTCCTAAGATCGGACTTGCTCATTCGCATGTCTTTTATACAATTTAAGCCAAGTGGACGTCAGAACCTTGGTCATTTTCTCACCTCTTTGGGCTTCTCTCGGCTGCTCGTTTCGGTTCCAACTCGGTTCCACCTTTAGGCGCTGAAGAAGGGGGAGTGGACCATCCTGCAGGAAGGGGATGCTCTAGGCTGGGCGCCGCAAGGCTTGGGTTGGTTTTGGTTTGACTTGGGTTGGGCGCCTTAGGCCGCGTGAGCTTGGGGGCAAAAGGGGTAAAGCGCTTTTTTTTTTGTCGGTTGCTTATGAACCCACGCAGTTGCCTGCCCAAAGCGAACCGACCGACTAAAGGAGCTTTTGGCTTTCCCGTTTTGGTGCCCATATTTAGTGAGAAACCCCCACACCTTTGAGGGCCCACCGATGTGAATCAATGCAAACCGAAGCAGATGCCGGCGGCCACGAGTTTTTTTTGGTGAGCAAGCCATCGGGTTTTAAGCCGTGGCTGAAGCTACTGGTCTGTGAACGACCTCGGTATGGTTTTTAAGGGGACCCAGGGTTGAAATTTGAAATTTGCGTGGTCACATCCTGGAGGTTTTGCTCATTTGAAGTCTGTTGACTCCCTCCCCCATGGAATGCAACAGGCCGGATGTGGATGGACACGAGGGCCCAGCCCCAGTAAACCTGTACCTTTCAGGGAGGTTCTAACAGACCTCAAAGTTCGAGCGTCAAATCCCGAGGGCCGCATACATGAATTTGTCTCATAGGCTAAGAACCTTCTTTGGTGTCCAGTGGATGGTTTGAAGGTAAACCCAAACAAAACCAACCATTGGAACCTGCCCTACTTTTTGACGCATTCAAGGTATAGTTTCCAAACTCTTCTCGGCTGAAACCACTCGCTGGTTTGGCAAGGATAGTGAGGACTGTAACCTGTATAGCCAGGCTCAAGGATTGTTGTGTTTGGCGTATTCCTAGGGTACTGCCATGAAATCCAGACCCTATATCCACCAATATGCCTGTGGGTCAAAACCAATGGTACATTTCTGGGTGCACCACCCATTTTAGAACCTATTTTAGTGGGGATTGGGAAGTTCACTGGGGGTACGATTTGAGTTTTGACCCATGGCCATATCGGCTTGTGACGCAATATGCGCGCCTGCAAGTGGTACATAACCTCCATACCTCCAAAATCCATACTCCAACATGCCCTTGAACTGGCGGAAGCCCACCGACACTTCCGATTCTATAGCACCCTGTGCCTTCTTTGTCTCTGTTGGCTTAGGGTGGCAACCCTTTTGGGCCATTCCTTGACCCGCAGAATCGGGTGTTTTCACTTCTGGTTCTTTCCTGGAGTCAGCTTGGCGGAACCCATCGAAACCAACAAAAGTAATATGTGCGGTGAAAAAACACTTCTGGGGCGATGATCCTTTCAGAACCAAGGCGTATCCGGCGTAGCCCGACACCTCAGGGACCCCAACCTCAGTCCTCTGCCTGGTCTCTCAGGCCTGCGGAATCCCCACGGGAATCCTTCCAACGGGGAGTGCGCCGTCGGTTCCGTCGAGCTTCGCCGCGAAGGGCGAAGTGACTCGCAAATGGCTTGGAGCACAATCCGACCAAAAAACAAAGGGCGATTTCCGTGTGGCTTCCCTAGGAAAGACCCAAACTGTTGGACCGCCGATACAGGGTCGGTTTCGTGTTCCCTTCCAAGCTGTTCCAAAAAGGGTCCTAGTTTTGCAGGTTTTTTCGAGACGGGAAGGGGGGAGGCAAGACGCGCTCTTGTAAGCTCGACTCATTTATCAACCATGAGCATTCAACATTCATCCTTCTTCATGAATTTCATGAGCACTTCACAGGGTTTCTTGCCAAAGCCTCAGCAAAAGAACCCGTAAGAGCGAACATGGCTGCAAATTGTTGGCTCCCCAAGGCCCAGCACGGAATCTCCACAAATGGGTTTTTTTCGTTTGGTTGTGCTAGGGCTTGACGCCGAAACACAAACAGACCACGTCACCTGGAAAGCAGTGTGTTTTTGCAGCTTGTTTTCCCATTTGACATGTGCAGTGTTGGGGGGCAATATCTATGCGCCCTGAACTCGCATATGTGTCTCACGATAGGGGAAGCCCTCAAATCTTGGTTTTCCCTTTGGTTTGCAATTAAACCAACCCAACAGTCGGTGTCTCAAAAAGAGACGCCCATATCCATCGCGAATGCATGTTAGTACACACCCGGGCCTCTAAATGTTCAGTTGAAAAGAATCTATTCCAGCTTGGATGTGCTTTTTGTTTATCACGCTTACTACTCCCTTTGTTTGGTCTACTTTTTGAGTATGCTCTTTCAGTATGCTCTTTGAGTATACTCTGAGTCTTTTTGGTGTTCTTTCTGCTCTTTGTTTCGTTCGTGCACTTTCAGCGTGTGTCCTTTTTAGGGCACCCCCAAAACTGTGGTTTCCCTTTTGGTTTCCCTTGAAAGCCCATCACACAAAGAAGGGGTGCCCTCAAAACGGCCAGGCTCACACTCGCCCGGGTTCGGGCGAGTTTTTTTTTTCAGGTACCGCGTGGCCTACCAAGACGCCGTGGTCTTGGTGAATGGCGCCACGGCGCGCGGGGAGGCCGGGTCGGCCGGGTCACACCCAGAGCTTGAGCCAAAGAGGCATGGGCTGAGCTTCCTTGGAGAAGAAGCTTTATGGCCGGGCGATGCCCAGGAGCATTTGTACCCTTTTGGGGCGTGGTTTCTGCTGGGGGGCGATTCTTTTTTGTGGCAGAAAGGAGGGGGGGAAGGGGTGTAACCCAATAGTTGGACGTGGTTTCTAAGCAACCTTGCAGGCGTTGGGGGGGGGAAGGGGTGTCACCCAACCAAGGACGTCTTTCAGCCTGCAATCTCAATGCAAGCAGTCCAACCCCAGGTAACCTCACCAGTTGGAAAGGTCATGTTAATGCCCCAATCGTATCGTAGGATCCCTTGTTGTTGAGGTTCAAACATATTTCCCCGTTTCCACTTGGTCAGCGTTCAACCCTAGGATGCGCAGATTTTAATCATTTTTAGAGAAACAGGCAAAGACTTCAAATGTCATCAGACGTTGACCTGGTTTATTGAAGTGCATTTGCCATCTTCTCAAAACTGATGTTTTCTCCATCTCAAGCAAGCTTCTCATTCGAGGTCTGCAGGCAACTTGATTGCGATTGGGTTGGATCTGTATTCCGAATTGAGAGGTTGAACAAATCCTTTGCAGAGGGGTCAACAGCCAGCAACCAAGCAAAATCACACACCGCGTAAGACATTCCTTGCTGGTGCGATAGCCAGGGAATGATATGTTTTTTAATTACCAGAAAAAAAAGGAAACATCTCTGCCTGGTTTCCTTTATTCGGGGACCAAAGCCCAGGTACTCAGAAGGCAATGAAAACTGGAAAAAGTCCTACGCATATATGTATATATATATATATATATGTATATATATATATATATCAACCATCCCCTTCATAGTTGGTTGACATATATATATATATATATATTCCAATTGGAAAAAGTCCTATGTTTTTTTTTGGAACGAGAATTGGAATGACCCCTGTCCACCCTCCGCTGCTTCCTTCCAGGACTTTTCAAGTTGATTCCCTTCGCTGCTTAGGGCTCCAAGTTTGAGAATTCGAGACTCCCCCATTCCCTTGGCTTCTTTCTCAGCAAATGAGAATTGGCATGACCCCCTTAAAAAGGAAAAAACACCAACCCCGTCCTCAGCAGGGAATGAGAATTGGAATGACTCCCTAAAAGAAACACCAACCCCGTCTTCAGGGAATGAGAATTGGCATGATTCCAATCCCCGTCTTCGCGAAAGCGAAAGCGTGCAGGTCCCGGTTCAAGCGGCCCGGAGCCATGGAGATGGAGAGCCAAGTGCGATTCACTCGGAGCGCGTGGAAGTTTCTCCCCCGTTCCAAATTTTTCGCAGAGCGAGGCGTTTTTTTGCAGAAACGCCCAGGTTCGAGGTTGAAGGGGGTTGTTTCAAAGTTTGCTGGAATAGTTCCTCCCATTTTCCAATTTTCCTAGGGAGGGGGTCCTCCGCTGGGCTTCCCAACCCCTCGCCCAAGAAGCGAACTCGTGTATTGAGCAGCCGGGAGTTCATGGTGGGAGTCGTTTGGAGCTGCGTAAGATGATCGTGACACGGATGATCACCATACGCAGCTTCAGCTTTTGAATCTTTCAGATTTACCTGGCAACATCTCATTTTGGGTAGCGCCCGATGTGGGTGTCTCTCAAAACGGGGTACTCTCGAATGAGGAGATTTTTGTTCTTGAGAGGAAGGAGAGGCAATGGTTTGACCCCCCAAACTGAACCAACTGATTTCCTTTCATGCTGACCTAACCCGAGCAGCAATAAGGTCACCCCCCAGGTGTTGGAATTGGTTTGGAAGAATGGGACGGTTTCCCATTTTAACCTTTTAGGGGATTTCCATCTTAAACCTTGGGTTTTGCTCCTGAATCTTGTTCGGCATTTCAATCGGTTTGAAGGATTTGTCTTTTGAATTGGCGGCTTTGAGTCACACTATTTTTTGTGGTTATGCTGGTGCGAGAGATGCAGGGTGCAAAGGAGAATTGGAATGACCACACACAAAAAGAAAAACAAAAACATCCCCGTCTGATGGCTTCGTTTTTTTTGGGACTCCCCTTCCAGGTTCTCAGCAGACAATGAAAACTGGAAAAACTACCATATATATATGTAGATATCAAGCATCCCCTATGGTTTTCTTTGGAGTGAGAATTGGAATGACTCCTATCAACTCTCTTCTAAGTTCCTTTCAGGACTTTTCAAGTGCATTCCCTTCGCTGGTTAGGGCTCCAAATTGGACCTTCACTCCCCATTCCCCCAGTTCCTTCTCAGCAGAATTGGCATGACCCCGTCCGAACATCAAGCAAACCCATCCCCGTGCAATTGATGGCTTCCGGTATGTCGGGACTCCCTTTCCCCAGGTTCTCAGACAATGAACATTGAAACAAGGCCTATATATATATGTATATGTATGTATATATGTATATATATATATATATCAACCATCCCCTTCATAGTTGGTTGACACATATATATATATATATATTCCAAATTGAACAAGTCCTATGGTTTATGGACTCCCCGTGTGATGGCTTCATCCAACCTCGGTACCCCGGACGTCAGCCCGCAGGTGGCCGGGGAGGCGGCGGCCAAGGCGCCCAAGCAGAAGCTGCCGACGCCGGGCCCCAGGTGGATGGGGCCGAAGCCCGGCGCGTCGTTTGGTTTTGGCCGGGGCGGTGGGGCGGTTTGAAGATTTTTGGCTTTTTGGGTTTCTGGGGAAATTTTTCGACTTCTTCTCAGAACTCTCCATTTCTGAAGGGGAGCTCCAGTTTGGAAGGTTCCATGCTGAGCCGGAGGCAGACAAGTCTGCTCCATGGGCGGGGATAGGGCGAGGAACGCTCTGAGTCAAAGGTTGTTTAAGATTTCAACATTTCAGCGGCCCGCTCCCCTTGCAATGGATCCGTTTGATCGCATGAGTTGCCCGACTTCGGTCGTGTAGGTGACAGTGCTCTGCTTGCGTACGCCACGTGTCTTCTTTTTGGGCTTGGGTTTGGGTTTCAGAATCTGAAGACGGATTTGGGTGTGGAAGATGGCACTTCTCCACTTGGGCGCGTCTTTTTTGTGGGTACCCCCATTTGGTAAGGGGAACCTTTTTTGGTCCAACCTCAAAAAAGACACCTCTCCACTCCGCTTGGACGGGTCAGAATTCAAGGAGTTGAACACCTAGAGCTCCACAGCCTGTGCCCCTGGAGCGAGCGCCTTCTTGGAGACAACCTGCCACTTGTGCGGGTGGTCTGCGCGATGATGTGGCCATGGGGCATAACCTATGGCTCCATTTTGGGCTAGGTGCGGGATGTTTACTGGGGGTACGGGGTCTTGACCCATAGCCATGTGTGTGTATATATATATATACATATATATATATATAAATGATTTAATGTTAATTATTTTTTTATTTATATATATACGTATACACGTATGATTGCATATATTTGGCTTGTTGGACCACATCATTGGGGCGCCCGCGTTTTGGCCGAACTGTCTTCCTACGGAAAACATCAGAAGCTTAGCGTTCCCAAAACGCCCAGAGCCCCTCCCAGAGGTGGGGTTCAGAAGCCGCCCGATCCAAGCGAACACAGGTGTTACTGTGTTGACCCGGATCATTTTTGGGACCCCAAATCCAAAGATTGCGCTCAATCAACAACACTAAGAAAAACAATCAACATGGAATTCCATTTCATTCCTTTCCTTTCCATTTCCTTTCCGTCGCGAGTTCTTGCAATTCAGAGTACCAAGAGCCGTCACTAGAATCAAGGGCTGAGGCCTTCTTCCTCTGGCGCTCGGAATCGTTTGAAATTCCGGCGACCGAATCCCTAAGCGTTCAACCCCCATGAAAAGAATGACAAGGAACCAATGTTGATGATGACAGTCCTTAGATAAAGAATGGTGGTTATGTGAACCCTCATGTCTGAGGGTTGTTGTAATACACCCTGGGATTACACCCTTGGGAAATGACCTGGTTCAAAATAACACCTTTTTATCCGGAAATGTGCCTAGATGGGGTCAACAGTGGGTGTTCCCAGGGTGTAATACAAAAACCCTTGCATCATGGTTTGAACACCAGCTGATCTTCCTGCCGGCCTAGGGTTTTTGGGATTTAGTGGTTTTGGCTTCTTGCGCGCTTGCGCCACGAGGCCGCGGGTGAAGACGGAGCTGCCGGAGAAGGAGAAGGCACCAGTGCCCAACTTGTTGGGCACAGATCGCCGAAACATCCGGATCTCAGTTGTTCCATCGCGAAGCAGGTGGCTTTTGGAGGTATTGGATCTCTGTTCCGGAGGACTTTTGGACGGTGAAGCAGGTGGTTTTGGAGCTCTTCCAGCGGGGCTTGCCGGGTTTTTTGGGCGGAAACCTGCGCATTCCCCGCAAAACAAAATGCGCATGGGAAGAGATCAACTTCGGCGCTGGAGGCAAGGTTTCGCCATGGGAAACCTGGAGGGCCCTCTTTCAAGCTCCGCATCCATATCCATATTTGTATCCACATCAAATATATATATATATATATATATATATATATTACACATATGCACATATATGAGTGAGAGATCAACATTTGATTTGGGGTACTCCAGGAAGCTCATGGTTCTTCTGGTAAAGCAAGCCCTCGCTTGGCAAGAAGCAACTTGCATATTTTGGCACGTTTTTTTTTTGGCCGGCGGTCAGGTACGGATCGCACGCGGGTTAGTTGTGTCGGGGCTCCCTCTTTTCAGCCTGTGGGGGAACAAACCGGATCGCCTTTAGCCAAATTGGAAGGCTCTCCGTAGCGGCGAGTTTGCTTTTCCAGGGCCTAAGAACAAGTCTTGGTTTGTGGCCACCTGAAGGTTCAAAACTCCCCAAACTCCCAACCTCTTCGACCCCCTACTGTAGTTATTTAAAAATTTGCAACCTCCACCAAACCAAAGCGCTATCTGGGGGAAGGTTATATTTGTGACCCGAGAGACCTCCCAAATGTGTGGATACTTTCTTGGAGGGGGTCTCTTTATTTCTTGAAAGCGGGGGCTGGAAAGCTCAGAAGGCCACGAAAAGGCCAAAGCCACTCCAACCCCTCCAGATTTCGCGCCGTTTTCGGTTTTGTTCGTCTTCGAAGAGCCGCAGGCGCCCAAGAAGGACTCGAAGGCACGAGCTGCTCGCATGAGGTTCCAAGCTCGTAGTGCTTCTTGTCAGATGCCGTGCATAGAAATGGACGCCTCGTCTCGCGCTTGAGCAGCGCAACTTGAACTGGAAACGACCAAAGGAAAGGGGCGTGCTTGGTTTCCTTGATTGCGGGGCGAGTGGGTTGTGAGTGATTCATGAGTTCGTCGGAGTCCAAGATTCAGGCCTTCTTTGAAGAAATCAGAGTTGCAAAGTTGCTTGAACAACCAGGCTTTGGCTGGATCACCCTGAGGCGAACATTCCTCACCGCAGGAAGTTCCATGGCCCATCCCAAGTGGCAAGGAAGGTGATTTCAATTCCTCTTCACGGGGCAAGGAGCGCCGGCTGAGGGGCTCGGAACAAGGGCGGAGTCCGTGGACTCCGTGGATTCTCCCAAGCCCAAGCCACGCGAGAGATACGACCCCAAGCCGCCCCTTGAAAGTCGGGACAGCTCCCAAAAGCAGACATCTCCGCGCTTTTGCAGTTTTCCCGCTTTTTTTTTTTTTACAGAATTCCCGTGCGACCAGCAGGCACCAGTTGGCCCCCAGGGCCGGACCTTTCGCATGAGATGCCCCTCAGCCAATGTACCCCATTCCAATGATGAATGTACCCCATTCCAATGATGATCTCTTGCCCCAAAATCGAGGGCGCCACCAAAAACAACAACAACAACAACACCCACAGGTTTCCTTTGGGCTTCCCTTAAACCGAAAACAAAAACCAAAAAAAGCAACCAGCCAGCCAGTGCCCCCCCCAAAAAAAACGCGCCAGCGCCCGGCACAACCCCTCGGTGCGCCCCACGAGAGCCTCGGCGCCATGTAGGTGGCCGCGCCCGTGGCGCCGGTGAAGACCGAGGAGCCCGCCAGCCCGGTGAGCCCGGAGACCTTGGCCGCAGTCCGCCAAGGAGCTTTCTCGGCGACGTGTGGGTGGAAAATGCCCGGGTCCGTTGGTGTGGGTGGGGGGGGGGGGGGGGGGGGCGATTTTTGGTTTGGCGACTCATTTTTGGGTCTTTTTTTGGGGGTTCATCTCCTTTTTGAGGTTGGCGGCCTCGAAAAAAAAAGGGAAAAAAGAAAAAAGAGGTGGTTCCCGCAAACATGGACACCCGAGTTTTGCGATGTCCGAAACGGGAAACCGAGAGGCGGGTTGAACAGTGGTCGAAGCCTGTTCAAACAAGGGATTGGCCCAACCATTCTTTGGACCGTTTGGACAGGGTCTCCTTTCGCTTTCGGAAGTTGGACGTTGCCAAACCTCGGCCAGGACTAGTTCATACAAGTCCGTGGTGGTTTAAACATCGTGCATCGGTTGCCAATGTTGATTGGGCTTTCACTAGGGTGAAAGGTGACATACCACGCCGGCTTCTTCAGTTTCAAGCCGCTCTTCCAACAAGAAAACAAACCCTTGCACGTGCTAGGAGGGTGACCGGTTTTCGAAAAGGGAGGACATGGGGCGCAAATCATGCCACGCAAAAAAAAACAAAACATGTTTTAGTTGTCCCGTGGAAGATATTTGAGTGAGATATACGGAACCCTGTCCCAGGAGCCCTTCCCAAGCCATAGGCGAAAGCTGTCCGAAGCGAAAGGGAGGAGTGGCAACCAAGCTGGCGCTCGGGCTCCTCACAAGGTTAGCAGCTAAGCACATCGAGCTCCCGAGCCCTCGGAAGCCCTTGACAGGTATTTGGACGAATGATTCATCAGGGCTCCTTAAAAGATACATTTTGCAACCAGAAACATGGCTTTGTCCACCAAAATAAAGGGACACCACCATTTACAAGGCAATGTTCAGGTGTATAGTGTAAGGATCCCTGTTCATGTGGGGAACCATCTAACGGTGGTTTGTCTAGAGTCTGGAGGTCGTCCCTTTGCCAACAGGACAAGCCCGTGCGTTGTGAAGCAAGTTGCCCCCCACGCGAGTCTTCCGAAAGGGGCATTCAGGATCCCCGATTCAATGGACCTCTTAGAGGCGTATCTCCAAGGATCGTCCGCTTTAGCCCGGTGCTTAGCACAGGTCTGCAGAGTCCAACTTGTCCTATACTAGGTTTTCCCAGTGGTGCCCTTCGACCCTTTTTTGGGGAAGGGTTCCCTTATTAAAATAGACTAGAGGAAAAAAGGGTGCCCTTCTTCTAACCTCTTTACTGGAGTACCTAGCATATCAACCCCATCCACGTAGTGGCATTGGGAATTCGCCTGGAGGTCCATGAAACCACCTTTGTTGGACCCCTCCCCACCACAGTCCCGCATTCTCCCCCTTTTTGGGCAGGTTTTTTTTGGAGGGAAGCCTTGTTTGGGAAATGAGAAGCCACCAGCCGTGGAACACCAGCCCATGTTCAGGCAACCCTTGCTCGGTGGCTTGGATTGGTTTGGATTCGGATTTGAACCTCTGGTTCCCCCAGGAACCCCCGCAGCGGGCCCAAAAAACCGCCTGCTTAGAGGGAAGCCGATCATGTGCGGGCTTTTTTTTTTTTTTCTCTTTTTTTTTTTTTTTTATTTTTCTCTTTTTTCTCAGATTTTGGGACGCACCAGGGTCTTGAAGATTTCCTCTTTACTTGGTGGCTCCCAGCCGTCCCCTTAGCTTTTTAGTCTTTAGTGGGGTTTTCCGTATTTAGCCCACTAAAAGTTATTCACTTTTAGCAGGGGATCTGAGGACAGCCTAGTTTTGGTGGGTTTTTGGCCTCACCTCGGGGCGATCCGTCCCTTTCATTGAGCCAAAAAGCGCCCGAGGTGAGGTCTCCGGCGGCGCCCCCCGCGCGGTCAAGGCCGAGGAGGGCGAGAAGGAGGCGCGCGAGCGAGACGGGGTGAGAGCGTGGGACCTCCCCCCGGCGTGGGTGTGTATGGGTGGCTCGTCTCTTATGGAGTTGGGGGGGAGGGTGGTGATATGCTTCCATTTGCTGAAAGGAATATATTTTTCCCCTGTTAGTTTCAAAGGGAATCTATCACTACTTTTTTTTTCTTTTTCAGAGGGCTTAAGCAAATGGAAGTCTTTGGGTGGCTCGTCTTCTTTGGAGTTGGTCCCATTTTTTTCGGGTGAGTCCACCTGGACATTGAGTTTGGGGTGTAGATGGGTACCGCGTCTTTTTTGGAGTTGGTGCCTCGTTTTTTGAGTGGTCTTAAAAGGAAGCCAAGAGGAAAACCACAAAATCCTTTGGGGTCCAACCTGAAAAAGACACACTCATGTTTAGGCTGGGTGGCTCGCCTTTTTTCAGTGATGTATTTTTTGGCTGGTTTTAGAGGAGAACCGAAAAGCCGCCATTTCTTTTTTTGAGGGGGCGTGGCACCAAGGCCCCCCCCTTTTGGGCTTTTGGGGGGAAAGGGAACTGTGGCACGGGCATTCGGGGCGTTCGTGTTTTTGGCTGGTGTGTTCGTGTTTTTGGTGTTTTTGGTTGGTGTGTTCGTGTTTTTGGTGTTTTTGGTTGGTTGGTGTTTTTGGTTGGTGTGTTCGTGCTTTTGGTGTTTTTGGTTGGTTGGTGTTTTTGGTTGGTGTGTTCGTGTTTTTGGTGGTTTTGGTTGGTTGGTGTTTTTGGTTGGTGTGTTCGGGTTTTTGGTGTTTTTGGTTGGTTGGTGTTTTTGGTTGGTGTGTTCGTGTTTTTGGTGTTTTTGGTTGGTTGGTGTTTTTCGTTGGCGTGTTCGTGTTTTAGGTGTTTTTGGTTGGTGTGTTCGTGTTTTTGGTCGTTGTTTTGGTTTGATCTACAAATTGCAACTCAAAAAAGGACAAAACAAAGTCCATCTTTCGGCACTCCATTTGAGCCACAATGAAAACCCGGGTAGATGAAGGTTAGCAAGGGCCAATCCCAACCATAAATAGCTGCGGATATCCGCCTTCTTAATTCTTTACATGGTTCTGAGTCGACCATTTTGGTACCGGGTTTTGATTTTTTCCTCCTCGTTGCTGGGCGTCGCCAGGATGCAGTGATGAGTCCCTTGTCGGAGGTGAGTGAGGTGTCAGCGCCAGATGAAGAGGCGTGGTGCAGAATAGGGGAACTTGGACCCTCCAAATCGATGCTTTGGTTTCTCTTTCAAGCCACTGCATTTTGGGGGTCCCATCAAATGTGCGCCAGATATCCCTTTTGCAGTTTCAAACATCACCCGTTTGGGCCTCTAGGTGAGTTTTCCTGTGGCAGGGGTGATGTTTTCTGGGGAAATATGGAGCAATCTATCCAAGATAATTTTGTATGGGCCATGGCTACCAGCCAAGGGGCCATTTTGCGGCATTTGATTTCGGGGGGGGGTAGCCATACATACCCACTGCCAGTATATCCTGCGAAGCCGGGGCAAAAGTTTCAAACACAAAAGGGAATTGTTTGGGGAGCGCTTGTTCTTCCTTTTTCTGTCTCTTTCTCTTTCCTTTTCTCTTCTTCTTTCTTTTTCTCTTTCTCCTTCTTTTTCTGTTTCTTTTTCTGTTTCTTTTTCTGTTTCTTTTTCTCTTTCTTTTTCTCTTTCTTTTTCTGTTTCTTTTTCTGTTTCTTTTTCTCTTTCTTTTTCTCTTTGTTTTTATTTTTTTTTGCTCTTTTTTTTTTTTTTTGTCTTTCTCTTTCTCTTTCTCTTCTTCTCTTCTTCTCTTCTTCTCTTCTTCTCTTCTTCTCTTCTTCTCTTTCTCTTTCTCTTCTTCTCTCTCTCTCTCTCTGTTTGATCTTTCCCTTTCTTGTTCCCCTTCTCTTTGTTTGGACAGCCACATAGACAGACAGGTTGATAGATGGAACATGAGAAAGAAACAGAAGGAGATAGAGCAGAGAAAGATAAACTTCAGGTTGTCTTTTCTTGAATGTACCAACCGGCTTCGCGGGCTCTAGTGTTATTTTACTCCCACAGAACCAAAAAAGCCAAGGGGTTTTGAGCGCTCACCTGTCTGCGAGGAGAAGGTTGCGTGGGCGCCTCAGGAAGTCCGTCCGGTAAGAGTCCTTTGGTGCAGTTTATATTTGTGCTGATAAATAGACACCCTGCGAAAC